AAGCCTGATCATCAAGAAATCAAGAAAGTCAAAAGTCAATTTGAAAAGTCAAACTTTTCAATACTTAGAATTTTTCTAAGTGTTTTAAAACCTTGATAATTTCATAACTTCATGACATTTTTTCACCAAGATGTAAGATGATTCAAAGAAAACTTTCAACATGAAAGTTATAGATATTTATGAGATATACAACTTTTCTTTACAGATCAATTCCTATAAGTGCTTAGATTTTGTTATAAATTCATGAAGTCACGCACTTATTCTAAAAACACTTAATGAAAATTTGATCTAGTTTAGGCATATTTTTTACCTAACTTCTTGGCCAATTTTCACAAAGCTCCAAGATGATTTTATCAAAATGGTCAACATGAAGATTGTAGAGGATGTTTCAAACTTTCCAAAATGTCCAAGAACTTGAAGAGATCATGCTTGAGCTAGAAGTTTCAAAGAGATGAAGATGGCCTCATAAACTTGAATTATAGGTCATTTTCTTGATGAACACTTGAGCAAATCTAAAACCATACTGCATAAATCTTGCTTTGCAGGCTTCAAACTTGCTAATCACTCAATAATTAAATGTTTACACAACTGTTGGATCCATTATCCAAGTATTTAAAGCTTTGTCCAAGTTGATTTTCCATTTTTGGCACAAAGGTATCATTTTGATAAAGCATTGCTTTTGCAAATGTCAACTCTCCTTGAGCTCCTAACTTGTTGTCTCTGCACACACTTTTCAAAGACTAGAAGAAACGTGTTTAAAGTGACTCAACCACTCTACATTACTGGTACAAAATATTGAAACTTGATTTTCTCACTTTTCTTCAAAATCAAGCAACCTAGCCATAACCCTATAACTCAGAAATCTGTTGTGCAAAAGATCTCCAGCCTTTTTCATATAACTATATAGACTATTTGCAAGCAGGGGCGCAAGCTGAAAACCTCTAAAACAGTCTGGAGCACAGAACTTGCATTTTGTGACACTTTTGAAGTTTCAAACACCCATCACAAAATCTACTTGTGCGTTTTCAATTCTAATCATTCACACACCTTCAATACATCACATAAGAGTGATCCCAACACTTATTTGAGGACTGTAACTCCATCTTCACCATCCACCATTTTCAAAAACCTCCATTACAGTTGGACTTGAGTAGGGAGATTCAGGCACCTTCAAAGCAAAGTAAGGGTCTTAACACACTCAGGGAGGTCCAGGCAAGCTAAACAGATCATTAGGACACCTCAAAGGTTGCTCAAACTCCATACACAAATATCATTTGCAAGGTAAGTTTTCTAAACTGTGATATCTTGATTCAAGCATCTTTTATACATACATTCTGAAGTAAAAGTGTAGATATCATTGCCCTAAAGCTTATCATGTTCTTAGTTTACATTTTAATTGCTTGTGCATGAAGAATTTCATCTCTGACCAGTTAGGGCATATTTTTGGTACCAATAGAAATTAAACTTAACCTTTGATCTATAGCTTTTAAGATTTATATGGTTGGATTCGTGGTGAAAAAATATACAAGTTTCATGTTTACATTTTTTAATTTCATTGAGAAAGGAAGGAGATACAAATTTCAAAAATGGTCTTGTCATCGTTGGCGCGAGGAAGAAGGTGAACATGTCTCCAGGAATGAGTTTAAAATATATATTTGTGATTTTGTATAAACTAACAGATGTATAACTACCCTGGGCCAACATATTTGGGCCTAGAAATTTACTTTTGTATTGCCCCTCATTTACTTTTTGCTGCAGGCCCAATCTTTTTTATTTCATTTTTCTGTTTTCAAACAAAAAAAAAATTATTTGGGCCTAGCATTTTTTCTATTTTTCACCTTCTAATTTCTTTTCACACACTGACCTAAATATTTTTTTTTATATTTTTTTTACAAAATAAAAGTCATAAAAATCATGAAAATATAGACTTAGATTTTTTTGAATTAATTAATTTATTTTCCCCAAATAAAATTAATTTAATTTAATCGCACTAGGGTTTATTTTATTAATTAGTTTGTTAAAATTAATTAGAACTAGTTTATTTTTTATTTTACATATTAAAATATTTTCTTAAACAAAAAATCCAAAGATTATCTTTCTAAAAAACTTTTAAAAATTTTTAAAATTTAATTTATTTTCATAAATAAATTTATCATACTTTCTTTTTATTGAATTTTGTAAATAAATACTTAAAATTAGATTTAAACTTCTAATTTCTTTTCTTTTCAAATTTCAAACATTTTCCTCAAATTAAAAAATAAAAAAAAATATTTTCTTAAATACTTAGAATTTTTTTAGGGTTTATTATACTCTGGACCCTTTTTATCTTTGCATATCTACTTACCTTTTACATTATTTTGCAATTATATACCTTGTCAAAAATTGTAATAGTAATTAGGGTTTTATGCTTTCATCCCCATTCATAAATTTGTACCCCCACCCCCTAAAGTGTTGTAATAGTGTGGGATATTTAAATTCCGCAATTTATCGCTTTTCATTATTGCTAGTAATTAGGGTTTGTATGACAAGATAAAATCAATCTTAGAAAACCCTAATCTCAAAGACAAAAGTGCATGAAATCAAAACACTCTGCACACTTGCACCTCTAGGGTTAACCCACACTTGATGCCTTAAAATAAATAGTCATGTCCCTCGAACGTGAGATACTTTAGCAATGACCCTCGAATACAAGATTTTAGTCCCTCGATGACCCTTCCACGTTGCCTTCGGTAAATGATCTTAGACCCTTGAAGATAAATTGCTAAGGTATCCTACAATGTTGCCTTCTATGACTATACGATGACGCACGCCCGTCCCTTCACATTCAATGATATGGTTACTTACTAACTAATGGCAAGATAACATTATCTAAAGGAGGAGGAAAAGAACTAAGATTTTTTGAGTAGGTACGTAGTTGCTTGCTCACAAATAAAACCATCTTCACACTTACACCTTCAAAACATCTTTCCAAAAACAAACATCTCTTTGAACTATTTTCAAAACCAACACTTTGCATACATTCTTATAGAGACGAGAATCATTACAAAGTTTGCCGAAACAAAGGCGTTTTCAAAATATTTTTACACAAAATACAAAAATATTTACGAAGCATTTCAAAGTGAGCTAGCAACTAAGAACCCGTAGATAACTACGGATGAAAAGGATGCTAACACCTTCCCTTTTCATAACCTACCCCCCGAACTCAAGAAAATATCTCAAAAGGTCTTTCCTGTTCTTTTCATCCTTTCCTTTATTAGATAAAAGAAAAGTCGGTGTCGACTCTTGATATCCACAACATTTGCGATAAAATACAAAACACCCAAGTCAATTCTCCTACCGTATTACACAAATGCTTTATTTTGAATAAGGACAAAGACAAATTAGACAAGTTTGATGCTAAGGCTGATGATGGGGTCTTTCTAGGGTATTCCTTATCAAGTAAGGCATATAATATGTTCAACCTTAGAACATCTGTTGTAGAAGTGTTCATTCATGTTGCATTTGATGAAATCATACTCCAAATAACGGGAAAATGTAGTTCTAGTTTTATTGTTTCACGAGTGTTAACTGAAGATCTGGTAATGACGATAATCCAAAGAGGATCCTCCTAAAAGTGAAGACATCAAAGTTGATAAAGAGGAAATAAAACAAGAGGATGACAAACAAGAGACTTCAACCAAGCTACCTCAAGAATGAATTATTGTAAAAGACCATCTGATTGACAACATTTTGGGAGATATCAAAAGGGTGTAACTACATGTTCTCGGGTTAATAATTTATGTAATTATTCCTCAGTCATCTCTCAAATTGAATCAAAAAGATATTTTTGTGGCCTTTACGAACGAAGGTTGACTCCTTATCATGCAAGAAGAGCTCAATAAGTTTAAAATAAATGATGTATGAGATTTTGTCCCGCATCCTCAAAACAAAAATATCATAGGCACTATATGAGACTTTTGGAACAAGTTTGACGAAGATGACATAATTACCATAAATAAATAAATAAAACCTAATAGTAAAGGGATATAACGAGGCTGAAGGAATTGACTATGAGGAGATATATGCTTTCGTAGGCCGTCTCGAAGCGATTCGACTCCTTTGACATTCGCATACTCCCTTGATTTTAAATTATATTAGATGGACTTTAAGTCCACATTCTTTAACGACTTTATAAACGAAGAAGTATATGTGTCTCAACCATTAGATTTTGAGAACCATGAGGATCTCCATTTTTTTTCAATCTTAAACGAGCACTATATAATCTCAAACACGCTCATAGAACTTGATATAAACACATAAATAAGTTCTTAATTAAGAGAATTAAAAGATGTTCCAGATGACAACTACTCCCACTCAACAACAACCCAAAATGCATCTTTATCAATGCATGTTCTCAATAAATAATTCCTATCATCGTTTCAAAGTTGATAACAAAGATTTAAGAAACAACTATTTCGAATTAACTAACAATCTATGAAAAACGACCCATTTCATACCCAATCAATAAAAAAATGTCAATTACTAATGACTAAATGTACCTTAGTCTATCGACTTCATACACACATATACCCTTCTTTCATCTTAAACATTGATATGCATCCAACCATTCTATGAGCTCCATGTTAGGCAAACTAAAAACAAATATATCTGTCTCCTCTCATACTTGAAAATTCGACCTCATTCATACATTGATTTGAGTGAGAGTAACCTTTTATAAATACCCCTGTAATCACCGGAGAACCGTAATCACGCCATTAAAAACTTCACTCCAGTGCGTCATCTACCTAACATCTATTTTTGAAGCAATTAGTTGTAGTTGATTACACGATTATGCTATTATACATTAGGTCTACACTAAAAGCTCACGAGATGATACTTGTGAGACTGATACGATAACACGTGACTAAAAACGGAGAAAAGGTAAACTCTCAAAACCCTAGCTCCGCTAGACCTGAAAATCAAACTACCATATCTTCCTTTCACCAAATCTCAAACCATCCATGTCTTCCCGGACTCCATTTTCCGGCGACGACGATGACGATATTGTTAACGACGATTTCTTAAACTTCCCATTCTTCGGTGTAAACCTCCCCGCCAGAATCAGCCGAAAATACGACGTGTTCTTGAGTTTCAGAGGCGAAGACACTCGCGCATCTTTCACTTCACATCTTTATGCCTCTCTTCAAAACGCCGGAATCATAGTTTTCAAAGACGATCAGTCAATTCAAAGAGGAGATCAAATCTCAGAATCACTACTGCGAGGGATAGAAGATTCTGTGATTTCTATTATTGTGTTCTCCAGAAACTACGCGGATTCTCCGTGGTGTCTTCAGGAGTTGGTGAGAATAATGGAGTGTCGTAGAACTGTAGGTCAGGTGGTTCTTCCTGTGTTCTATGATATGTATCCGTCGGAAGTTCGGAGGCAGACAGGAGAGTTTGGTAAAGCTTTTCAAAGTCTTTTAAAGAGATTTTCGATGGAGGATGAGTTGTGTATGGAACAAGGTTGGAGATCGGCGCTTCATGAGGCTGCTTGGCTTTCAGGGTTTGTTGTCCTCAATTCCAGGTTATTATTGCTTTTTATAATTTTTCAATCTTCTTTTTGTTTTCATGCTTTGCTGAGTTATGTTTAAATTCAATTTTGAGTGAATTGATTCCGGTTAAAAGTGAAATGAATGTAAAGTGATTTATGTTTGGATAATTTTATGCAAAATCGAGTTTGTTTAAACCCGAAAGCTACAAATTCTAATAGTAGATTAACATATTAAAACAAAAAATATAATCTTAAGCTACAAATTCTAAAAGTGGATTAAGATATTAAAAGCTACCAATTCATTTTTAAGGTATTATATAGTTGAACTACCATGAGCAGCCTTACCCTCCACTCTCCCAATAGCTAATATGGTTAAACCAACCATTAGCAACCCTACTCTCCATTCTTAGGTCTTGTTATTCTTTTTTGGTGGAAACTCTCCAAATGGTTGTTTTTCTAGAATCTAGCAATGATCCTCCTCCAACTTATGTTAGATGTGACATAAGTGAAGCCTGAAATTTGTATTTTGAAATCTTATTTTTCTTGCCGTGCTGCCTATGTACTAAATGATAATTGTACATACAATTCGCTTCTTTGAACAATACTTTCAACCTAATTGCAACTTTTTGATGTGATTCACTTTACACACAAAGACTACCAACAATACATTTCTTACTCAAATTTCCCCAGTAACTTTAACACATTTGAACATACGTACATATGTAATTACTTATGATACATAAATCATAGAGTATATCAATGTATGTAAATGTACCATTTCTTTGCTTTTTTTAATAGGGATGAATGTGAGATTGTCAAGAGTATTGTTGCAAATGTTACACGTTTGCTGGACAAGACAGACTTGTTCATTGCTGATAATCCGGTTGGAGTAGAATCTCGAGTGCAAGATATGATTCAACTTCTAGACTCTCAACAATCCAATGATGTTCTACTACTAGGGATGTGGGGATGGGTGGAATTGGTAAAACAACCATTGCCAAAGCCATCTTCAACAAAATTGGCTGCAATTTTGAAGGTAGGAGTTTTCTTGCAAATGTTAGAGAGGTTTGGGAGCAAGCTACCGGACCAACATATTTACAAGAACGACTTATGCATGATATTTTCAATGAAACAACCAAGATACAAAGCATTGAGTTTGGAAAAAATATATTTAAGGAAAGACTTCGTAAGAAAAGAATACTTCTCATACTTGACGATGTAAATAAATTGGACCAACTAAATGCTTTGTGTGGAAATCGTAAATGGTTTTCTTTTGGGAGTAGAATAATGATCACAACAAGAGATAAGCATATACTTAGAGGGAATAGAGTTGACAAAATATACATGATGAAAGAAATGGATGAAAGGGAATCTCTTGAGCTTTTTAGTTGGCATGCATTCAAGCAAACAAGTCCCAAAGAAGATTTTTCTGAAATTTCAAGAAATGTAGTTAAGTATTCCGGGGGATTACCGCTAGCTCTTGAAGTCCTTGGGTCCTATTTATTTGATCGAGAGATATTAGAGTGGAATTGTGTATTGGAGAAACTCAAAAAAATTCCCAATGATCAAGTATATAAGAAGTTAAAAATAAGCTAGGATGGTTTAAATGATGATACAGAGAAAGAAATATTCCTTGACATAGCTTGTTTCTTTATTGGAATGGACCGATATGATGTTATTCATATATTAAATGGTTGTGGACTTTTCGCAGAAATTGGAATATGTATCCTTATTGAGCGAAGCCTTGTAACGGTTGATGATAAGAACAAGCTTGGCATGCATGATTTGTTGCGAGATATGGGAAGAGAAATCATTCGGGAAAAGTCTCCAAAGAAGCCGGAGGAACGTAGCAGGTTGTGGTTTCACGAGGATGTGCTTGATGTATTATCAGAACATACTGTAAGAACTTCATATATTTTTTGTTTTAATTCTAGATTAATTTGTTTTTTAGGTAAATAAGAAAATAAAAATTTAAAATATCTTAAGCTCAACGAAGAAAAAAAACATTTTTGAGTTAGTACTCAACATTCATTTGTGGCCTGTCTAGAACAAAAACTTTGACTATTAGTTTGGTTGTGGATTGTTTTGTGCTTCCTGGTTCCTAGAAACAATCATTTTAATCATCTAAATTTTTTTTTATCTGCCTTGTTCTGTATCTTCTAGTTTACACTTTACACAAATGATTGTGCTTTCCATAACATGTTTTACTTTTTGGTCCATTATATATCACAGGGAACAATTGATGTTGAGGGACTGATTTTGAAGCTTCTAAGTCTTAGTGCACAATGTTTCAGTACTAAAGCATTTGAGAACATGAAGAGACTCAGATTGCTTCAACTTTCTGGTGCACAACTTGATGGAGATTTTAAATATCTTTCAAGAAATTTGAGATGGCTGTATTGGAAAGGATTTCCTTTAACATGCATACCTTCAAACTTCTATCAAAGAAATTTAATTTCCCTTGAGTTAGAAAACAGCAATGTCAAACTTGTGTGGAAAGAGATGCAGGTATTTTATTCTAAGTTGTTTTCACTTTTCATTATTAAGAATGGAGTTTAAGCTAAGTATTGCGTCCAAAGTGCACTTAATGGTTGTGAAATTCTGGAATTCTATACATGGAATATTTTGAAAGAACAAGTAATACTAAACCAACGTATATTGGTATTGAAAATTTGTCTATGCACCCACATAAATGTTTTACTTACTACTCTCAAGATTGGTGATACATTGTAATTGCTTCCATTTATCTATTTATGCTTTTTATCCATTTAAGTTCTCTATAACAATGTTCTTGCAGATGATGGAGAAGCTGAAAATTCTCAATCTTAGTCATTCTCACTATCTGACACAGACCCCAGACTTTTCAAACTTGCCTAATCTTGAAAAGCTAGTACTCAAAGATTGTCCTAGGTTGTCTGAGGTATCCGATAGCGTTGGACATCTCAATAAAGTTCTTCTGATAAATTTGAAAGACTGTATTGGCCTTCGTAATCTTCCAAGGAACATCTATACGTTGAAATCCCTGAAAACTCTCATTCTATCTGGATGTTTAATGATTGACAAGTTGGAAGAAGACTTTGAACAGATGGAATCTTTATCCACTCTGATGGCAGATAACACAGCTATAACAAAAGTTCCCTTTTCAATAGTAAGGTCAAAAAGCATTGGATACATTTCTTTGTGCGGATACAAAGGATTCTCGTGTGATGTGTTTCCTTCCATCATTCAGTCTTGGATATCACCAATAAATAATCTCTCACCCCCTATTTTAACAACTACCGGCATGTCATCCCTTATTTCTTTAGGTTCATCCAGCAGCTGTTTCCACGATCTATCATCTATTACCATTTCCATTCCAAAGCTTCTAACCCTTTGGCTAGAGTGTGGATCAGAGTTTCAACTTTCACAAGACAAAACAAGAATTTTAAATGCTTTAAGTGCAACAAATTCTATAAAATTGGAATTGGAACACTCAATTGGAACTACGTCACTAATATCAGATGTGAAGACTTCATTGTTAATTGAATGTCAGAGTCAAGTGCATGTTTCAACATCGAGAAATTCCTTGAAGTCTCTTATAATTCAAATGGGAATGAATTGTCTAATCACTAACATTCTAAAAGAGAGGATCTTACAGGTTTCACTCTTTCTCTCAATAATTTTGAATAATGATTTCCCCTCCTGTAAAATATCACTATTCAGGTAGTCAAAAGATCATAAATTTTATTGATAAAAATCCAATTATTTATCTAATGACGATATTATACATTTGATTGTTTAGGTAAATGATATGATGGTATGATATATTGTTAAATAAACTTTTGAGCCTATTTTCAATTTTCACTTTTTACAGAATTTGACGGTTGATGGATGTGATAATTTTTTGCTACCTGATGATAACTACCCAGATTGGTTAACTTTCAATTCAGAAGGTTCTTCTGTAATTTTTGAAGTCCCTCAAGTGGAAGGTCATAGTTTGAAGACAATGATGTGCATTGTCTATTCTTCAAGCCCAGATGACATAACAATAGATGGCCTTAAAAATGTGTTGGTGATTAATCACACAAAGGCCACCATTCAACTCTATAAGAGAGAGGCTTTATCGTCCTTTGGAAATGAGGAGTGGCAGAGAGTGGTATCAAGTATGGAAACTGGTGACAAAGTGGAGATTGTTGTCATTTTTGGGAACAGTTTCGTTGTGAAGAAGACAGCGATATATCTCATATATGGTGAACCATTCTGCGAAAAAACGGACCAATTTCATGCACCAGATAAGAGTGTTGTTGCTGGCGATCATGAAACTGATTGCGCTGCCAAGAGGGTCTCTCCTCAAGTAGAGCCCACAGATGATTTTAAACAAAGAGAGAAAAGAAGAAAACACTGGTAGATATGAATGACGTGAAAGAATTTATGGGTAAAAATTATTGTGTTAACCTAATCGGATTAAGTTTATCTCCGATTTGTGCTTTATTTTGAAGCTTAAGAGAGACCTGCACCCTTGATGTTGAGTATAGGAGCATCTTGCTTAATGCATACATTGTTTCGTTCAACTTCATCCCTACTGCAGCTGGATTGGATTCGTCGGCTGCAGGTTTTACATGTCCAGGTCACCTATTCATTGATTTTTTATTTATTTGAAATTTTATCATTAGCTGCAGTTAATTTGTGTTCTTAAAACCTGCTAAACTTTGAAGAGAAAGAACCATTGTCCATTACCAAAGTCAAGGATTTTGAGACCTCTGCTACTGCATGACAACAATCACAATTGCTTCACATCATGCCATTTATCCACACTTTTCTACAATATTGAAGATTGGATGTAATTGCAAATTGTGACTGCTGCCACACTTTAAAACCTTGCATACTACCAGTGTCTCAGTTTCTATAATGTTTGCTCAGCTCGTGCTCTTGTTTTTGCTAAAACTTTTCTTAAAATGATTTATATAATTGCTTCTATATTTTCAAAAGATTGACTCTCAAGATTTTGTTATTTGCTAAGCTTTTTCTTCATATAGTGGTTTTCTATTACTAAGCCATTCAATCTTTAATTTTCTTTCAGGTCTACAAACCAATAAACTGCAGAGAGACTCCTATTGGACATGTGCTAGAACACATTCATAGAATTGGACGAAGAGTTAGCCACACTGACTTTAAAGCTCTCTTTCTAACACTTTTATTTGAAATTTATCGAATAAGAAAAGAAGTGTTAGAGTGAGTGTTCTAGTATTGTTCTAGTATTATCATTGAAAGATTATAGAGCCATACGGAGATGTTTGGTTAAGTTGACATTGATATTCAAGATAAGTGTTTAGTTAGGTTGTCCAAGCACTTTCATTGATTTTTTGTAGTTTCTGCTTGTATAGATTGGCCTAGTCAATTATGATGACCTGTTCATTTCTGTTTTTTAACCACTAACCACTTAACTGTTAACTATTCTTAGTAAGTTTAGTTAATTCTAGTTAGCTATGAATAGCATATATTTTGTATAGATTCTTTAATGTCGATCTCATATTGTATTAGTTTTGTAATCTTGTAAATAAAACTATGCATAGTGTTTCAAGATTGTAATGTGGTAATTAATATTCATCAATAAAAAGAAAGTGGCTATAATTTCTCTTCTTCTCTCTTTTGCTCTTTTAAGTCTATTGTTAAAGCTCAATTTGTTTTGATCTTAAAGTGTTTTATCAATTGTTCTCTGATAAAAGATTCATAACAAGTTTGGCATCTACAAATTTAGTACCCATGTTCACCTGGTTTGATCTGTCTCTGTTCTATTTCGAGCCAACAAGTAATCATTTGTCTCATCTTCAATATTAGGTTGAGTTTCCTCTAGACACTCTTTTCTAAGTGGCCTGCCATCATCTTGTTTAGTATGAACTGTATCAGTAGGCCTTACCTCAAACTTGCTTTTTCTAGAGCTGGATACAATTGTCTTGTTAGTATTTGATGTTATTTTATAAGCTATTTCAGATTCATTGAACACCACTTTTCCACTTACAATGAATTTCCTATGACTATCTTCCAAACACCACATCTTATAGTCTTTGACACGCATTGGATACAGTATGCCTTGGGTTCCAATTTGTCTTGCTTTATGCGTGCGTAGGCAACACAACCAAACACTTTAAGTGTATCTGTTTATCTTTGGCTATGGTAAATAATGTTGGTCTTTTAATAGAAAGTTTACTGGCGAGGTCGATCAGAGTGTCTTAGTGTCTTGATTCGCTAGTGTTTTTGCAAAGTGTTTTCAAAAGGGTCCGCTCGTCTAAGGCGAAGCGGGCCTAAAAGCAATAAAGCAGAAAACGCAAAATAAAACAGACGTGTAAACTATAAAATAGATGATATAACATCAAAACAATTGAAAATGGGTTTATTCAAACATATATCGTCCGTGCTTGACTCATTTCGCTCGTTCGTTCGGGTACTCTAAGTGACTAGCGTGTAGGAATGTGGAAGTTTGAACCTCATATACTATGCACCAAGTGTTTTATTTATAATACATGAAAATAACTACTTTCTGGCGGGCTTCGCTTCCTTATGAGCCACGTGTCTATTGTAACTTTCCTTCACGAACCCACGTTCTCCATTCTTGCTATCGAACCCATGTTCTCTATTGTAACTTCTCTCATGAACCCACATTCTCCATTCTTGCTATCGAATTCATGTTCTCTATTATAACTTCTTTCCATGAACCCATGTTCTCGATTCTTGCTATCGAACCCACGTTCTCTATTCACAAGGCTCCGCTTGCTAGTTATTCTCTCTCTTTGGGCTTTTTAACACTCTTAGGCCTAATCCATTCCTCACGAGGCCTCTCTTCTGATCGACCGCGTCTATAGGTCTAAATTGGCCTTTGATGAAATCTTCTCCGATTGACAACTTCTGTGGTCGACTTCCTATAATAAAAAATCTTCAAAGAATCCTTTTTGCTTTCGGTTGGATTTTGACCCCTTTGTAAAAATCTTAGCAAACAAATTGCCCTCCAAAATGTCCCTTTCGACTGAAAGAACAGAAATGGACATTTTAATCCTTTTCTCTTAGTGTGAAATGACATCATCGTAATCATGACCTTTTCCCTCAAACTTACATCAGCGATCATACAACCACTCCCCTATTTTTCATCTTCAACTTTCTAGGATAATCGTGGCCCCTAACTTACCAACTTCTTCAACTCCGCTGCCGCCTGTTTGACACGTGTCGGTCGTACAACAAATTTATCCCTAATGTTTAGTCTCCTTGGTGGTATAAATACCCATTTCATCTCTCCGATTTCCTCTTTACTTTTCCTTGCATACTCAAGCTCTTTGTCTTCGTACGCCACAGAACTTTTCATCTTCATTTTAATTTTTTACCCAGAAAAAGTCTTCCATCATCTCCATGGCCGCTTCCAGCCAAATATCTGAACACATTCAAACTCCTCAGGAAATCGAATTGGTTTCCAACATGAAGGAGTTCTCTGTTCATGATCAAAACACTTTGTCTTAGAGCCAACGCCAACACGCAATCTCCAAACTTTTTGCTCTCAACTGTGGCTTCCCTTCATTTGTAACAACACTGCTCACGCTCTATTGGGGCCTATTCCTGATGAGGTTAGGGATACCTAAACACTTGGAGGGCAGCTTCCCTACTCAGAAAATCACTAAACCCCTTGTCAACAGAGATTGTCCCATAGATTTTTCGCACATCTACCGTACATCTAAAGTCTTTCGTTCTGCCCCTGCTGATTGTCCTGATGAATCTGCTCTTTAACAATCGTTCGATCTCTACTTTGATTTTGGATATCACTTCTGGCGCGAACCTCTTTGACATCTGTTTGACTGGTCGCTTGCCTGGATTTATAGGTAGTTTAATTTCCACCATCTCCCTGCTCAAACCAGGAATCTCGTAGTAATCCCATGCAAAAAAAATCTTTGAATTCTTTAAGTAATTCCATTACTTGATCTTTCATCTTGTTGTCGATCTTAGTGCTGATGTATGTAATTCACCTAATCGCACCATCACTCAAGTCGACTTCTTCCAATGGATCTTGTGCTTGCATCTTCAAAATTTATGTTAGGTTTTTTATAATCCCAAAGGCTCTTTTTCGTATATGCAGTCAAGCCTCTGGCTTTCTGAAGTTGTTGTTAGGCTCGGTTCTCCAAGTTTGTCCACCACAATGGCTTTCAGCGCCATTTTTGCAATATTTCCGGCCTCTAAGGCCGAATTTATCCTACTTTTGGCCATGTAGGCCAAAATCTTTGTCAAAGCATTTGAATCAGGCATCATTATGAGTTTGTTCTTCCCACCATGTGGATGAAAACTCTCCTTCCATAGTCGGATATGTATCCATCTTTTCTTGGTCCCAAATAAAACCATGAGTAGGGTGTAGGGTTAAAAACTTGATCACATCAGGATGTGACTTAAACACTGCATCTTCAGGGTCACACAGAGGTATGGTAGCCAAGGCTTTGTTAAAGTTATTCCTGTTGACCATACCCACATCAATAGTAAAATAACTATGATCTGCCTCAATGTTCTCCACAATCTCATCTTGGTGCCATATAGATAAGTGCTGATGTAGAGTCGAAGATACTGCCCTAATGCCATGTATCCACTCACATCCTAACAACAAATTATAATTCACTTTGGACGCAATCACCATAAACAATGTTGGCCTTGAAGTCGAGCCAACTGACAAATTTACTTGAATCACACCCAGTATGTGACTTATTTTTCCTTCATAGTTCGACAAAACCATGTTATGTGGTCTAAGGTCAGTGTCGAACTTACCAATCCTCTTTAACAATGATTGTGGCATCAAGTTCACAATGGCACCACCATCAACAAACACTTTGTTCACAGATAAACCATCAACTTTAGAACTTATAAAAAAAAGCTTGAGATGGTACATCATATCAGACGTAGGCTTCTCAAACATCGCCTGCTGTTCTTCGACCACCCCATTATTCATAGCATAGTAGCATGGAGGTTTATGGCATGCTGATTCTTCGCACATAGTCTCCTCTTTATCCCCAGATGCCTCTAACGCAAATCCATACTCATTAGGAAGGACTGACACAATATTACAATGTATAATCAAACCATCATATGAAAAGTCTTCAAATTCGCCAGATAGTTCATCGTCCATGTTGTCATCAGCATGATTTTCAACTTTTGCTGGCGACGCACACACAACCGACATCGATAACCTCTCTTTTGCTGGTCACCAGTGCACTTCTTTCGGGACATTCTCACCTTTTAACGGAGCAGCTTTTATTGCCGCTTCTCTTGCAGCTTTCTTGCTTCTCTAAAACCTTCTCCACTGAGTCTTTGTCATATGATTCTTTCCTTTGTATGTGAGAGGAACGTGATACCTCTTTGATGTGATCCCAACTTCAGCAGATTGGGAAAAACTAGATTCCTTCTCCATCATTTCCCTTTTATGGATCAAGCCTGAACTCTTTTTTACCACCTTCCAATTATGGTCCCCCCCCCCCTTGGATAGAAAGAGCGAACCCAATTATTGTTAGGAACATCAGTTAGTGGTACATAAGTCCTTTATGGAAAACTAGGTTTTCCTTAAGGTACTTGGACATTGTATGCCCCCTTCGCATGGTCGAACACCATCTTTAGATTATTCTCTTGAGGGCGTTTCTTCTTCAACGCCTCAATTTTCTTCGCAACATTTTCATCATAGACTACTTTACAATTTGCGCATAACATAGACCTAGAATTACCCAACTTACACCTGTTCATAAAATCCACCAGCTCCTCTTCAGGTTTTGGAAAAACAACCTTCATCAACTCAACAACTTTTTCTTCAGATAATTCTTCATTTTTAGCCTCATAATCCATTCTCTCCTTGTCGTCTTGGTTGACTTCAGGCTCTTCGAAAAAATCAACCACCATTACTTCTTATGGCTTAGACAAAATTCTGTAGCCACTTTTGAGACCCTCAATAGTATTGACTGTTACAACTATCATTGGATCAGCACCCACAACTTGTTCATTCTCAAGACCATAAGTAGCCTCAATTGTCAATGTTGCAAGTGAAGTGATAATGCCTGCCTCCTCGCCTTCGAGACCATCATTAGCCTCAATCATCAGTGCTTCCAATGGTTCGACAAAATGCGCATCAACAA